TTGAGCGACCAGTATTCATCGTGACCTGACGATATAATAATTTTATGGTTGGCGGGTGTGATGGGGTTTGGATCGCGATCCATGTCCACATCGGTTGTGTAGGTAATATCATAACCGTTTCTCTCGAGAAAGCGGATCATTGGATATTCAGCGTTCATGAACCAGTCTTCCATGGCACCGCCACCGCCACCACCGTTACGGGTAATGAAAGGACGATTGTAGCTGACTTTTGCCGCGTGACCATTTGGAAAAGATGTTGCACCAACATATAAACTGTTACCACCATAGGCATTATACGCCTGCCAGGTAGCGTCGGATGTTTTAAGTAAAATAGGGGAGTTGCGCGCATCATCGCGAACGATGAAGGGTATGTGACTCGCGCCACCACCACTTACTTTGGTAAGACGGGCGATATACAGACCCGAAACTGCCGTAGATGGAACAGCCCAGCTGGCAGATTCATTCCATGTGCTGCAATCTATGAGACCTGTTTGTGTATTTGTATTTGCATTGGGCTGCGGCGCTCCGTTAAAAGTGCCGAGGTTGATGATCAGTCTTGCACCATTTCCCTGGTAATATCCAAGGCGATAGATTTTAATAGTATAGGCAGCAGCGGGAGAGACTTCAATTTTAAAATGAACAGTCTGCCCTTTGTTAACACTTATATCAGTGGCAAAACCCTGGATGGAAAGGTCACCTGCTCCGCTGATATCCCATTCAGTTTTGGGATTTCCAGCGATCGCGTTTTCAGTTACGATCGGGTTTTGTGCGAAGGAAACTAATGCCGCTGCGACGAGTACAAACAGGGCAAGCAATTGTTTAGAGCAGACGAGGTTCAAGAACTTCCGTACCATGACGAATTTCAGGGTTTAATAAAAAAATAAAATAGACCGGTGCTTCTACAGGAGTTCTTTAGAAAGGATATTAAGCTTCTGGCTTAGGAGAGGATATAGTTGGACTGGTGAAGGTGCATGCGACAACTCGCTCAGCAGATGAAATTAATGTATAAAATAATATCATTTCCGGTTGCCGGACAAAAATCCGGGCCGAAGTTTAGTCACATAATTTTCAACAGCCACCCAACACTAGCTTTCTATCAACAACCCGCCTTATGCGGGCTGTTGATAAAAAGTGATATTTTTTAGTTCGTTT